AAAATAAGCGAAATTAAAACCTAGTGAATAATTAACCCTTTTACAGTAGTTGGTTAATTTTTCTTTTTTAACCGAAATATTGTCAAAATATTTCTGTTAATTTATGAAATTTTTTTGACAGTATCAGGTTTGGTGTCTCTTTCCAAAATAAATATCATAATTTATGAAAATTATTAAATATTATTTTTTATTTTTACTCTTGTTTTTCCCTCCAAAATTTCAATTGATACTTTTCAACATTTTTTACTGGGAATCAAATTATTGACCGTGGTTGTTATATGACATTGTGGTAACACTAATAACAAGGCTACAGAACATTCTTACAGTTAGTTAGAACAATAGTTACAGAACATTGTCAACTTTGTTTTGAGCTGATCAATATTCAATCGATTATTTTTAATAAATATTTTTTTTGGAGAATTTTGTTCAAATTTGGAATATGTCAGTCATTCGTATGGAGATAAGAGTAGACGTCACATGTATGCTATGTGTGTATGATCTTTCGAAAAAAAAAATTACGCGAACATAGTATGTGAAATGAACCGAATGTGGACAGTTCAAACGATTTAACATTTTTCAATCCCAGTTGCGTTTCTTCACAATGGCATTTTGATTATTTATTTGTTGGTGAATCGCAAGGAAAAGTTTATGAGTACCCGCAGTACATCTGTCATCCTCCTAGTTTTTGTTTGTCCATTTGTTTGTCCGAATATTTTTGCATAATTAATTGCATTATGGTAATGGCCAGGAATGCCATTAAATTCAAATGCTATATTCTCATAATGGTTTTGCACTGTAATAGACCATTTTCCGTTCACTGCGAGAATCACGCGTTATGCGTGAAATCAAACGTAAAAACAGGACAAACAAAGGTCATAGCGTCGTAGTCGCTTCAAACATCGCGTGGGATTCGACAAACGCGAAAGTATTTCGGGGACATTTCCATGCTTAATAATGTGCTGTCCACATTTGATGATAAACAATTTCGATTAAGTAAGGGTATTCGGAAGCAATATTCCTCTGTCGAAGATCGGCCGGCTACGAAAGCTACGAAATAAAGAAATTCTAGTTCAAAATCAAATCGTTCGATTTTTGCGGCAGAAGTTCGACGCGCGTCTTTCATGCATCTCGCGAGATCTCGCAATTGTACGGAAAATCATCTATTTATTCCACAGTGGATAACCACAGTGATTTAGTAGCAGCATAGTACTTCCTATCTAATTGGTTTATATTATCATGATTACTTTGGGTATTGGGTATTTGAATTAAAGGTTTCTCAACATGATTTCCATAACTATTAATGAAACCACATGATTGCACTGTGGCATGAATGTGATCCAAATTGAACCACATGATCATTTTGGGCCATTCCAATTAATATCTGCACCCCTTACTGTGGAGCCAAGTAATCATTCTTTTGCTTTGATAACTTTAATTTAAATTGGTTTCATCAGCCAATCAAAGAATCTTTCGGATAGTGAATTTTTTTTTTTGCCACTCTCAACTTTCTAAGAGGATATGTGAATATTTCGGCGTTATTAGAAGACAAAACTCAGAGACAAATGACACACTATAGTTTTGTTTTGTGTTTTGAATGTCATTTGTGTCAGGCAACAGTGACTTTTTCCTTTTTTGTATGTGCAAATTGCAAGTGCTAGTGCTGACACACATCTCCCCTATCTAATGGCTATTTAATCCTCTATCCTGCTTGATCGAACCTTAGCGCCTGCAGACCTTAACCAAGATTCTCCCAAAGTTGCACAAGTTAGTGAATAAAACACAGCCACTGGAATTGGCCTTCCCATCGAGTCTGTGGCACACTCACCCAGGGCATGGCCTCGACCCTTTGATTTTCGGATTTAAATTTGGGTCTACCGATCATAAGTCTGATGCAACAACCACAAGGCTACCAGTGCCTGGGAGATATTGCACAGCTTATTGTGTCATTACAATTGATATTTACACCCCCCCCATTTATAGCGCCAATAAATCATGTGTAATTTAGATATATAGATATATTGCTAGTTTAAAAGCAAGCTAAGCTACTTAACTGTTAAATTGCGCTTCGATCGTACTGGAGGTCAAAAGTCAAATGATACGCTGATACCATTTTGAACTACTAGAGGCTTCTATCTTAATGTGAAGTGTGTCTCATTAAAACATGTAAGTGGCATGTGTCATTGGAGATGTGTGTTCAATTTGTTGGGCTAATCTGCACTGGCTCGGAAGGTTGTAAATGATTAGCTAGTTTGAATTTGCATAACAATACTGACAATGAACGTGCATTCAACGCCACAAGTTTTTTTTGTTTTTTTAGCCAATCAGAATTCATCTTCCGAGCCAGTGCAGATCAGCCGAATTTGTTACTTCTTAATAATGCTGTCAAAAAAAACTATTCTTTTTTTTTTTTTTCTTCTTGTGCATATAAATGGAGTGTCAAAATCTATACTATACTTGCTCATCAGATATAGAATAGACTTAAATACTTCTGTTTTATTTTTTGTGTTGCTGAGTTTGCATGTGTATGTCAAAAGCGGGTCCATTTTACCGGTTATAACATGACATTTGCGAGTTGATTTGCATTAGTTTTTCACCAGTAGAGTGGAAAAATTTGGATGTTGCTCTGATGAAATGTCTTGCAAAAGTATGCATGGTCTGAGCATGACTTAAGATTTAGCTAGCTGCACACTGGCTTTATAAAGCTGACTCAGCTTACTCTCAGAGCCATCATGCATCTATATTATGGCGAGTAATTTGTCTAAATACATTGTATGTCTTTCATTGTTAGTAACAAAGGTAATTACTGGAGCACTGTACACAGGCTTGACTGTACCTGGGCAGACACTGTACACAGGCTTGACTGTACCTTGGGCAG